GGGTGGGGTGGGGCGGGATGTGCCAAACACCCGTCCAGCGCCTCCAAGGGGGGAGAGGCTGTAATTAACCAACCGACTTTGACCCTTGATCCGCGGGCTCCCTGGCACCGCCCCAGGCCTTGGAGGGAAGTGGAGAAGGCGGAGGGCTCCCCCAGCAAACCGCCCCCTGGAGAAAGCCCGCTCCTCGGACGCCCCCTCCCCGGGCCTGGGGGTGGGGCGGGATGTGCCAAACACCCGTCCAGCGCCTCCAAGGGGGGAGAGGCTGTAATTAACCAACCGACTTTGACCCTTGATCCGCGGGCTCCCTGGCACCGCCCCAGGCCTTGGAGGAAAGTGGAGAAATGAGGGCGGTGGGCCCTGTGAGGGCTCTTGCCTCAGTTTCTCCCACGAATACGTTTCTGGAAAAGGTGCTGTGGTTACCTGGGTGGCCGACCCACCGAGGCCCAAAGGCCCGCGGCGCCGGCGGGATGTGTCCTAGCGCAGCCTTCTCTCCGGCCCGAGACGCCGCTCCGTGGCCCCCTTCCCCCGGGGCTCCGGCGGGGAACGGGCACGAGAGGGGAGTGAGCTGCCCCTCCCGGAGGTGGCCTAGCGGCGCCGGGCTGTTTACAGTTTCTGGCTTCCCCGCGTTCCTGGCGGGGGTTCCAGGTCCAGCAGGGCCTGAGGTGAGGGACGAGCGTCCCCCCTCCCGCCTCCGCCCTCACCTGTGTTTGACTTGCTGCTTAGCTGCTCCCCGGGATCTGATAACTGAACTTGGACTGTGGTAAAGGTGAGCGGAGAGCCGTGCAGGAGACTCGCTGTGCTGTTATTTTTAGTTTTATTTCACATCCCAATCAGGAACAGATCATGTGTTGACTTTTACAAAGGACAAAGAAATTCCGTTTGCCGAAATCATTGACTTCTTTGGCCTGGTGATTCCCCCGCGGTTCTGGCGGCCTCGGTGGGTGGCTGAGGGCACCTCCAGCCCAGGGCTGTCCCAGCGGGCGCAGAGGAGGGCTTCCGGGCGTCTGCCACCTGCTGCTGTGACCCAGGTGGGCAGGCCTGCCGGCCCCTCGCCCTGCAGGATGGAGGTGCGTGTGAGATGTGGCCTCCTCGCTCTGGCCGGGGAGAACCCTGTGGAGTCAAGTAAAGGGTCGAAGTTAAAGAAGTTAATTTTGTCTCAAAAGCCTCGTGGCGCAGTGGAGAGTTTCCCCACCGTTTTTGGAAATGGGAGATGGAATGTTCTCGGGCCACGCTCGGGTGCCTCAGATGGCCGGGGGGTGGAGGGGGGGGCTGGCCTGTCCCCTGGCTGGGCCATCCATCATCAGTCGACTGTGACCCCAGGAGCCGGCTGGGCACGTTTCCGTCACCCCACCTCACAGACCGGGCACGTTGTGACCAGTTAAGCATTGACCCCATCCATCCCCCTGAGAGGCACTGCAGGGGCTGGGAACAGGGACGTGTATGAGGTCTGACCTTCCCGCCAGGGCCCTCTGAGACCCTGAAACACCAGAGCGCGGAGGGAGTTGTACTTTTACTGACTGAAGGCCCTGGGCTCAGTCCCACCAGCACTCCGGCTCCCGCTCTGAGGCACAGTTCAAGAGGTTCCCCCAACACATCCCCAGGGCAGGACCTTTCCTTGGGCCTCATTCTCCTCCCGAAGCCAAGGACAGCCCAGGAGTGGCCGGGGCCACAGGGGTGGGAGATGGCTGCACACCGCTGGGAGGTGAAAGGGTTTGCAGTTAAGGTTAAGATGCTACCTGCGGTGCCCTTCACGCCCCTCTCCCCGGTCTCCCCTGGCGTTCCTCCTTTGTTATGTCAATGTTGACTGCAGTGCTGGGAGTAATGCTGGTTTCTTGAGGATGCCCCTACCCATTGTACCCAGGGGCCGAATTCCACTTCATGGTCTGAAGGGGAAGCTCCTTAAGTGCAACTTCAATCTCTCTCAATCTCGCGAGGCCAGAAAGGCTCTTGAAGGTAGATGGACCCGGGGAACGGGAATGACATCGGCATCCCAGGGCCTCTTGCAGGCCCCCAACCACCCCCTCCTCTGCTTTGAGCCCCTGGTGCCTGCTCTGCCAGTTCCTCAGCACATGCCCACCCCGAGGAGGCAGACAGGCTACTGTGCAGGAGACTGGTGGCCACGAAAGTCAGCTTTGGGCCCAGAATACACGTGTGAGGGTGGGGAGAGATTAGGCCTCTGGTGGTGATGATGATGATGTTTTTAAATGTATTGATTTGAGGGGGGAAAGAGAGAGAGAGGGAGGTGTTGTTCCACTTACTTATGCATTCGTCGGTTGGTTCTTGTATGTGCCCTGAATGGGGATCGAACCTACAACATTAGTGTATCGGGACAATGCTCTAACCAGCTGAGCTACCCTCGTGGGGCTGGTGATGATGACTCTTGTGGTTCCTGGGAAGTGTCGGCAGTGAACGACTGGTCACCAGGCTCTCCAGGGAGCAAGGCTGGGAGAGCAGACAGCCAGACAGTGGATGGGGACAGAGAGCAACTGGACCTGGGCAGTGGGCGAGATGGGACTCCTACCTGTCCCGTGGGGTGCTGTCACCCAGGCTGCCAACCTGTCTGTGCCAGCAGGAGAGCTGTGAGGGCACAGGGAGGACAGGAGCGAAGCATGGGCTTGGTTGATATCAGGGTTTCTTTTTAACGCTGTTCCCTTCCAACAAGTCTTGTGTGGATCCTGCAGGATGCCCAGCCCTGTGCTGAACGGGAGGGTGGGAAGGATGCAAACGGGCCATAGTTCCTGGTCAGGGCTGTCCACCTAGTGTGAGGGCTGAGTGCACAGTTTCAACTTCATTACAGATGCGGCATGAAAAGTGGGTGGGGAGCGGGGAAAGACACTGCCTGAGAGAAAAACTTGGCGTTCACAGAATGGAACCACCAGGCTGAGGGACAGACCCATTGTATTCCCGGGGCTGCGGCCTCTGCCAGTTGGCTGGCACTGGCTTTCTTTCGGGCATTGCTCGCTGACCTGCTGGGGCTGGAGCAGATGGCACAAGACCCCTGCCCTTGCTGATAAGGGTGTCAGGCGGCCTAACACCAACCTGGGATGTACTGACGCAGTGGGTTCCCCCCACCCCATTCGAGCTCAGTGGACCCCCAGCCCAAGGGCCAGAGGCTGTGCATCCTCGCATCTGCTTCACTTGCTCTCTCTCCCCAGAGAGCTCAGACCAGACCTCGTGCCCAGCCCTGGCCTGAGGCCTTAGATCAGGGGTCCTCAAACTTTTTAAACAGGGGCCAGTTCACTGTCCCTCAGACCGTTGGAGGGCCGGACTATAGTTTTAAAAAAAAACTATGAACAAATTCCTATGCACACTGCACATATCTTATTTTGAAGTAAAAAAACAAAACGGGAACAAATACAATATTTGTATTTGCATGTGGCCCGCGGGCCGTAGTTTGAGGACCCCTGCCTTAGACGGAGCAGGGCCTGGCACTCTGTCCAGTATTTGGCCCAGTAGCTTTAAAAAAAAGATTTAATCCTCACCTGAGGATATGCTTATTGATTTTAGAGACGGGGGATAAAGGGGAGGGAGAGAAGCATTGATGTGAGAGGGCACATCGATTGGTTGCCTTCCATATGTGCCCCAACCGGGGATCGAACCTGCAACCTTCTGGTATATGGGACGACACTTCAACCAACTGAGCCACACCGGCCAGGAAGGGCCCAGTAGTTTTCAATCCAAGAAAGACAGGACTTGCTGCGGGTGAGGGAGGGGAAGGCCCTCAGATGGGCGGCTGCTCTGGGCCTCTGCCCTCGATGTCATGCAGGTGGAGGCAAGTTGGGCAACAGAAGGGGAACCCGCAAACCCCCTGAGGGAGTGAGGAGAGGGCCGGGCTGGTTTGGCCTTGGCCTTGCCACACGCCACAGCTGTGGGCGGGCAATGAGTAGCCACAGCGGCCACCGCCTTGCCGGAAACATCTAATTAGGGGACAGAGGTGCACAAGGCGGGCCCAACCAGTTCTGCTTCCTGCCTCCTGCCACTCAGTGACACTGACACCCAGTGACAGGAGCGGCACACCGATGAGCACTCCCTGTGCGTGCGGCAGCATCAGGGACACGCTCGTGGGGGCGGCAGGAGGACAGGTTCGGCAGGTGGCTAGGATGAGGCAAACATCCCCACCCTGGCGGCCATGAGGCTGTCCTCGGGGGAGCTAGAGGAGCAAGGAGGCCAGGCCCGGGGGTGCATGTCCCCAGTTCTTTAGCACCAGCACTCCAAGGTTTCTGTAATGGGAGAGGCAGGCACGGGGTCCCCCCAAACTGGCGTGGATCCTTGGAACACTACCCATGAGCCCATCTATGAGAGGGAACCGCAAGCCACACCGGCTGCCTCACCTGCTGTCCCTCCTCCCTCTGCTGCGCATGTGCGCGTGGGCCCGGCGCCCACTCTCCGGAGCCTCACTCACGCTCTCCGACACCAAAAGACAGGAGAGAGTAGAGGTTCCATTACCTGGACTGAGAAATGGAAATAGTCATTCAGCTTTGAATTCTTGGCCAAGATCTGCAATAGCTGCTAAACTGCCAACACTCAGACACGCCCCTGTGCCCCCCCCCCCAGCACCCCTAGCCCGTGTATATAGACAGCTGCCCTTGCAGCAAGACAGGAATCGTGTCCCTCGACCCCAACCCCCCGGCTTGGGCTTGCTGGCCAGCCTTCCAGGGCCTGGGGAGTTGCCACGCCATCTCAGGGGCCAGGCCAGGGCCAGGCGCTGGTGAATCAACTCCCGGAATGAGGTGGCTCATTAAAGTCCCCGGACAGACGGACGCCAGTGCCAGCAGAACGGGTTTGGGCGGCAGGCCGCGCATCCTTCCTCTGTCAGACCTTTGTTGTGTTTTGAGGGGGCGAGGGCCGGGGCCTCTCCCGAAACTTCGGTGCCTCACATTCACCCTCCATCGTACGTTCCTCTGCCTCCCCCCCACGTCGTCTGTCCACCTGGGCCTCGTCGCAGTGGCCTGGAGAGGAGGTGAGGGCAGCAGCCCTCCTGCCTGGGTCCCGCTGTCTCACCAGCTGTGGGCAGTGGGCCTTGTCATGGGCCTGACACCCCAACTCAACCTTCTGAGTCCCTCTCCCTGAAGCTCACTCGTCCTTTCTTTCTTGGCCCCTCTGGGTTTTTCCTTCTGGGGCTTGGAAACTGCTCCTCACGTGTGGGTTTTAAGTACAGAGCTTTGCCTTTCTGGAAGAAAATTCTTGACTAAACCGAAACATTAGATTGCTTGCCCCAGCTGCCAGCTCTGAGGCTTGTTTCCTGTGTCACTCAGAACTCTTCCTCCTCCCGAGTGGGGACCAGGGCCAAGCCTCCCCGGCCCCGTTCAGTGTGAGGTGTCTGTCGTGGGGAGCGGTCATGTCAAAGGCTGCCAGGTATCGGTGCCGAGGAGGGCGGTGGCGCCCAGGAGGGCGGGAGCCCAGCCTCACTGTACAGCGAGCGGTCCCTGCTGTGGGGGAGGGTTGCGTAACAGCTGGGCAGGTGCCCGGGAGACTGTTACGCAGCATCCACCTGCTGCTCCCTGACCTCCTCCCTGCTCCACCCCACCTGGCCTGTTTGCCTGCCAAGCTGGGCCCGTGGGAGGGGGTCCCTGGAGCCTTACTGGGCTACCACGGCGGGGACTGGCCAATCGGAGGAGGAAGGGGCTAGGAGCATCCAATGCCCTAAAGCCAGCAGCTAAACTGCCTAGAGGAGAGGCCCAGGGTGGCTCAGGCCACCAGGAACTCTTCCGGGGCAGGGATGGGTCCCTGGGCGCAGGCCTCCAGGGCTGCCCTTTGTCCTTGCGGGAGCAGGGATGAGGCCTGGAATCCAGAGGGACTGGCCCAGGTGGGGCAGGCAGAATGCTCCGGAGGGATAATTGGCAGGGCAGGTTTGGTCCTCCCAGTTCCGCTAAGACACAAATTACTCAGCGGGCAGGCCTGTGGGTCGAGGCGCTTGGCTGGCGTCACCTGTAATTACCTTAATGGGGCAGGAGGGAGGTGCAGTGTGTAGTGGGCTGGGGGTAGCCCTGCTCTGCCACATGCCTGCCAGGGGTGGGATGGAGGCTCCAGGTTCCAGCCAGCTAATTGCCAGCGAACCTTCCTGAAATCCCACTGAATCCCCTTTTCTCCACCAAGCCCTCACCTGGCCATTCTTCTCTCTGCAGTCAGCCTGGGCTTCTATCCGCCCCAGCCCTGCCCGGAGCCAGAGCCATCAGTGGCTGAGCCCCCTTCTTGCCCCCTGGCTTTGGACATGAGCCTTCGAGACTCCGGCTACAGCGTGGCCTCTGGACCCTGCGTGGTGGCCCAGCTGCCGTCTGAAGACATGGGCCGCCTGGCAGACCCCCAGAGCAGAGACCACGGCTTCTTGCGCACCAAGATGAAGGTACTGACCTCGCACTGTATCTGAGGAGCAGCCCAGGAGATGTGGCACAAATGAGACCTAAGTGGAGACCGGCCTGAGGTCTGGGTCCAGGTTTCTGCAGAGGTGACCCTGTGCTGGGCATAGACAGGGGCTGGAAGAGATGAAAAGTGGCTCTAAAGTGAGGCTGTCATGCGGGGAAGCAGCAGCGGGGTTCAAAGGACATTTAAGCTTTGGGAGTCCATCTGGGGGTTTAGTTTTATTTCTGGCCTCAAGGGGAGCCTGTTCACACCGAAGTCCTAGGAAAATCAGGGAGACGTGAGGCCGGCTCAGCACCTCCTGGGGCCCCATCCGGGCAGCGAGGCGAGTGAGGTCTGGAGTCGGCCTGGTGGTTGGCTATCTGCTGAGGCACGTGCTCGACAGTCTCCGCCTCACCCAGTGCCACTCGAGGCCTTGCGCCTAGGGCAGGCCTGGTGGGCACCCCGCTGTGCTCAGCAGTGGGAGCGGTACATGCCCCAGGCTTTCGAGGAGCGCACCTGCGCAGGCTGCCCTGGCCGGGCCTTCCTCCCTGAAAGCTCCAGGCCGGGAGGCGCCCGCAGCGCTGATCCAGTGGAAGCGTTCTTGAAGCGCCGTCCATGTGCCAAAAGACTGGAGAAGCTGGCAGTGGATGCTGTTCTTTCCTCTGTTTCCTGCGGAGGCCAAGTGTGTGTTGTAATGAAAAGGGAACCACCCAGATATGTGCTGGGCTGGCCAGAGAGCCAGCACCATCGGTGCCCCTGATCCCCACACCCCCTTCCTCCCAGCCTGGGGCTCCAGTAGGTAGGGAGGGATGCAGAGAAAGCAGAGGGCACCAGAGAGGGGTGCTGGAATGAGTCCTGGTCTTTTTTTTCTTTTTTTAAATATATTTTTATTGATTCAGAGAGGAAGGGACAGGGAGAGAGAGAGACAGAAACATCAAAGATGAGAGAGAATCATTGATTGGCTGCCTGGGAATCGAGCCTGCAACGGGCATGTGCCCTTGACTGGAATCGAACCCTGGACCCTTCAGTCTGCAGGCCGATGCTCTATCCACTGAGCCAAACTGGCTAGGGTGAATCCTGATCTTGACTAGCTGGCAATAAGGAGCATTTACCCGGGGCCAGGGTACAGAGGACGAGGTGCGGTGTGACAGGTGCACCCAGTGCACAGGGAGCTCAGGAGAAGTTGCCAGCGATGGCCACCCACCAAGTACAGGCAGCCTCAGAACATTAACAGAGGTGGGGCGTTGAGGCCACATCTCCACTTAGGAATAGATTTGAGATTTTCCACAATTACACAAAAAACAACAACAAAAAAACACGAAAAATGCTTATAAGCAAGCAAGTCATCAGGTAGCAAAGGGACTCAAACCCTATCATGTCAGGCCTGGCTCAAGTAAAACCAGGGGCAGGGCTCACCTGGAGGGGCCCAGGCTCCCAGCGGTGTCTCCGCCGGGAAAGGCTGTGCAGGAGACAGTGTTGTGGACATTTTTCCCTGTCCCAAGGCATAGAATGAGGACGGAGAGCAGAAACGACAGGGAAAGATTTGGGCTCAGCGAAGGGGAGAACGTTCTAGCAGGTAGAATCGCTGAGGATGAATGGGCTGTCTATATAGGGAGTTCCCTGCCCGTCTCCAGAAAAGAAGGGACTGGCTGGCAACCTTGAAAGAGGACTTGGGAAGCTCACAGGAGGCTGACGTTGACTCAGAGATTCTTTCCAGTCACCACTGATCTCTGTGAGCCAGCAGCACAGAGGTGTGGCCTCGGGTGGTGTCACTTTCCTCAGGGGGTCTGGGGGCTGGCATTTGTGTCCTGCCAACCTGCAGTCCTAACTGCTGGGTATCTGTCACAAAGACTGTCCTTGCCCACAGGTGACGCTGGGGGACAGCCCCAGTGGAGACCTCTTCACCTGCCACATCTGCCACAAGGCCTTCACCTACCAGCGCATGCTGAATCGCCACATGAAGTGTCACAACGACGTCAAGAGGCACCTCTGCACCTACTGTGGGAAGGGTTTCAATGACACCTTCGACCTGAAGAGACACGTCCGCACCCACACTGGTGAGAGGAGCCCCGTGGTTGGCGCCTGCCTGAGGCCACGGGGACACTCGGCGGGCCTGCTGTCTGGGGGTGGGGGGCTGGAAGGGGTACCGGAGCTCAGGGCAGAAGCCGTCCTCAGCTCAGCAGTTCGGGCCCTCGGGGAGCTGGAGATGCACAGGCCTCCGTCCCTTCCTCTTCCCCAGAGTTAGGTGGCCGGGCCTTTCTGTGCCCGGGAAGCTGCTGTCAGGTCCCTGACACCCAGCCCTGTCCTCCTCGCAGGCGTGAGGCCCTACAAATGCAGCCTGTGTGACAAGGCCTTCACGCAGCGCTGCTCCCTGGAGTCTCATCTCAAGAAGATCCACGGCGTGCAGCAGAAGTACGCATACAAGGAGCGGCGGGCCAAGCTGTACGTGTGCGAGGAGTGCGGCTGCACGTCCGAGAGCCAGGAGGGCCACATCCTGCACCTGAAGGAGCACCACCCTGACAGCCCGCTGCTGCGCAAGACCTCCAAGAAGGTGGCCGTGGCCCTGCAGAACACCGTCAACTCCCTGCTGCAGAGCAACCACCACCTCTGAGGGCGCCGTCCGGCCCAGGAAGGGCCACCCCCCTGCGGCCTGGCCAGTCCGCCTCCTGCGGCCTCCTGCTGGGACACCGGTGATCGGGACTGAAGCCCCAGGATGTGTGCTCACTCGGCCCCGCGCTGACCTCTGCTCACGCCGGCCTTTTGTATTTTGGGCGGAGGCTGATCCAAGCCTGTGTTCTGGGCAGACGGGCAGACGTGGGGCAGGGCCAGGCCGGGACTGCCTTTGAGGAAATTTTTGACGGTGGTCCTGTGACCTTTCTGCCTCTGAGCACAGGGTGGGGCTGCTGGTCCCCTGTGGGGGCAGGGCCAGGAGCACCTGCAAAAAGCAGCCTGTGAGAGACGGCCGCGGCGCTGGGCGATGACCTGCCTGGCAGTGCCAACGCCCAGGGCTGCAGGGCTCTGCCCTCTGCGGGGCGCGTGTGCACCACTGAAGATGTGCGCGCCTGCACCCACGGGAGGCCTTTCCACATATCACCTCCTTTTAAAAAATCAATGACAAGGTGCCAAGGAGGTTTTATTCCCTTTTTTTAAAAGATGACAAATGTATAGATATTAATATATTTTTGGTGCTGATGGCGACTATTTTTAAGAGAGGATGGAGCTGGCTTATCTCTCTCCCATGAGGTTCTATTTATCCTGGACATTTCACGTGCTCTGTGCGTGGTTCTGGGGTGGCTACCCTGACGCCCCAAGCTTCCTGCTACCTGTGTCCTTCCTCGGACCTTGTCTGGTCCCCTGCCACCAGGACAGCACATCCCATCTGCTCTTCGCTCCCACAGCTCTGCCTCCCTCCCTCTGCTTCCAGGCAGCCTGGGCCGACCGAGGGCCTTCTGATCAGATAACAGCCTTGTGCGTAACAGCTCACGTTTTTGGAGGTCGAGGGCTTGTCGGGGTCTAGCTTCGGGTGAGCCAGGTGGGGAGAATCTTTGAGAGGCCCAGAGCTGTGGCCTGAAGCACAGAAGAGTCCAGGCCAGGCCACAAGGCCTGCTCTTTTCCTGGTTGAGTCAAAAACCTGAGAACAACAGCCAAAAATTGGGACAGAATTATAACCAGACACACAGAAACCTGTAGCGGGAGGACAGTATTAGATAGCTAATAAGTTATATTTGTAGTCTTTTTTCTGTTTTTCAAGTAGCAAGGCTGGGTCTTGAGCCAGTGGCTCCAACTGAGGGACTCGCCAGGCTCCCTTAGCTTGGCAGGTTTCCTGCTAATAACAGGAACGGGGCGTGGGTCAGAGGGGAGAGCTGGGCAGGGGCTGAAGAAGAGCGAGGAGGCACACTTGAAAGTGGTCCACAGAACACAGCCGTTGGGCCACCCCTGAAGACGTGCCCAGAGAGAGCAGCATCGCACAGCCCGGCTGAGGGCAAGGAGCCTCTCGCTGCCCTCTGCATGGAGACTCGCTTTACTTGCCTGCAGAGCGTGGGCGCTGCTGTGTTCTGGAAGTTCTATAGGACAAAATAACATCTGGAAGCTGTTTGTTTACATGTCTGTATCCCCGTGTTCCTTGCCAATCTGAGGGAGTCAAAAGGCTCTGTGTTGTCTATTTTATAACTTTCTCTCCAATTATTAAAATAAAAGAAACTTTTTTCTGTGTTTTGTTGTTGTTTGTCTTATAGGCCTATTTCCATTTGCAGGAAATTAATCAAAATAATTGATGCATCCTATTAAAAGCTTTATCCTCTTACGGTTACCAGTGGGTTCAGACAAGGCCTGACCCAGACAGATTGGGTGGCCTGCCTCTGGTCTCGCAGTCAGTACCTGCAGACCCCAGACTGGCGGGGTCTCGCCCAGGGCTCTCTGCCTGCCTGATGCTCCCACATCCTGATACAAGGCTTTCCATTGGGCGGGTACAAACAGTCTGGCGTCTGTTCCCAACAGCCTGCCAGGACCACAGGAGGAAGAGCCACATTCCCAAATAATAGGGCACACAGTTCATGTCACTTCCGGGTCAGACACCGTGATGTAGTCTGTGCCAGGCACACTCGTGTGTTGTACGTAATAGCTCACTGGACCTTCCAGCCGCCCTCTGAGGCAGGAGGTTGTTGCCACCCGGCAGAGAGAAGTCAGGTGGCCCACAGTCTCCGACCAACCAGTAATGGAGCTGGACACAGACCAGACCGGCTCAGGTCTATGCCTGCAAGCACTGCACACTGCTATGTAGAGACCAGGAGGCCTCGTGGCACCTCAAGGAAATGCAAAGTAACAGCAAATCTAGAGATGACCTGGCCTTCCCATCACCGACCCAGGATCGTCGGGGGACTTCATTGCCCTGGTCTCCGAGTTCCAGGTCAGTATTCTCCCATCACGCCCCGCCAGGTGGACGAGGAGGGGAGGGGAGCTGCAGGCTGGGCCCCGGGCGTGATGCTCCAGGAGGCGGCGGGGGAAGGGTCAGTGCTCTGGTGCTGTGAGGAGGAAGGAAAACACTGATCTGACCTCCAAGGCTCCCTGTGAGAAGCCCCGAGGATTGGAAAGGGCCACTGACCCTCCTGTGTCTCTTTAAATAGGGAGGCACAGAGATCGCTCTTTATCTCAAGCGCCCCCATGTGAAACACCAACCAAATCTCCTTTTCACAGGCCCCACCAGGAGCAGAGCCCATTGTTGGAGCCCAGATGATTAACCGCTATGTAAACTGGAGGAGGAGCCCAGGACAGACAGGCTTCCAGGAAGCCAGGGGTGGGGTGTGGGGAGAGTCCTGGGGCCCCTCTGAGCTCTACTCTCTCCCATTCCTCAGAGAAGCTCAAGGCTCGGACACCTTCCCTAGCAGGCTCGGGCCAGTCACGTTTTCCCAGCCAGATCATTTGGGGGCTCATCATGATCTCCACTTGGTAGGATGGATACCATGAGGGAAACGAGCGATTCGGGTCCCTCACTGACGGAACTAGGCCCAGCAGCAGAGGGAAGTGATCAGTGCGAGTCTTTCTATACCTAAGGACAAATGCTATGGCTGCACTACAGATGCTCTGGAACCCCAAAGGGTCTTTGTATCTGAAACAATAAAGACTTCTTGGAAGAGGTGGGATCCAGCTGGTCTGGGCAAATGGGAGGATCTGAACAGAACAAAAGAAAAGGGAAGGTGTTTTAGGGTCAGGGCCTGGCCGGTTTGGCTCAGTGGATAGAGCGTTGGCCTGTGGATTGACGGGTCCCAGGTTCAATTCTGGTCAAGGGCACATGCCCAGATTGTGGGCTCAATCCCCAGTAGGAGGTGTGCAGGAGGCAGCTGATCTATGATTCTCATCATTGATGTTTCTATCTCTCTCTCCCTCTCCTTCTCTGAAATCAATAAAAATATATTTAAAATGAATGAATGAGTTAAAAACAACAGAATCGCAACATATATGAGGAGCAATAAAGCAGGTCACAGTAAAACGAGGTATGTCTGTATTTCTATCGACAATCTGGGTGCTTGCACCATTTGGTCCGTCAGCCACAGCACGGGTGTTTTTTGAGCCCTGCCCAGGTGCCAATAAGAACTGGTAACAAAACAAGATTCCGAGAGACAGGAGAGCTGACTGGGACCTAGCAAGAGGGTCTCATTGAGGATGAAGGTAGAATTCTATTTTCATACTGAAAAACAAGGCAACCAAGTGCAAGGTGGGAAAACTTTACAACAGGAAGTGCTATAAAGGTTTATACTTTATATTTTTCATGTATTTCCTAATTTTTTTCTACAATGGCATATATTATTTTTACAAAGAGAAGAAAATAAAGTTGTAAAACAATTTAGGGCAGCGGTTCTCAACCTGTGCGCCGCAACCCCTTTGGGAGTCGAACAACCTTTTCACAGGGGTCGCCTGAGACCATCGGAAAACACATATATAATTACATATTGTTTTGTGATTAATCACTGTGCTTTCATTATGTTCAATTTGTAACCATGGAATTGGGGGTCACCACAACATGAGGAACTGTATTAAAGGGTCGCGGCATTAGGAAAGTTGAGAACCACTGATTTAAGGTGCTAGTAGACTTGAAATTCAACACGTCAACAGGGAGATGGGGCTGCCCCCCGAAAAGCTAATGTGATCTTTGACAATAACAGAGATGTGGCAACCAAGCCCACCTCCCCGCCCTGGAGTAGGCGGCAGTCAGTGGGTGGCAGGAGAAGAGCAGAGACCGGTGGAGGCCCAGCCCTGCCTCATGCTGTCTGCGTGGCCTTCGGCAAGTGACCAAACCTCTCAGTTTTCTCATCTATAAAATAAGGTGAGTTCCTACGTTCAAAAGTCCCTTTCTGCCCGGCCGGCGTGGCTCAGTGGTTGAGCCTCGACCCATGAACCAGGAGATCACGGTTCCATTCCAGGTCAGGGCACATGCCTGAGTTGCAGGCTGGATTCCCAGTGGGGGGGGGCGTGCAGGAGGCAGCTCATCAATGGTTCTCTTTCATCACTGATGTTTCTCTCTCTCTCCCTCGCCCTTCCTCTCTGAAACCAATGAAAAAGAAATATTTTTAAAGTCCCTTTCTGTTATCAAGACTTTGCTGCTAGGCCCCCATTTCCATAAAAGCCGCGAGGAAACTGACAAACTGCAGTGGCGATGAGGAGGCTCCAAGGCTGAGACGCTGCTCCGCGTGGGAACATGGCTGCTGGCAGAGGGAACCGGCTTATTTCGCCGTCCCAGTGGGCAGACCCTGGGCCAGAGGGGGCTGGGGGAACAGACTCCACTGCAGGGAGCCCTGGCACAGCATAGCCACAGGGTGGCTGCTGGGGGCAGGAGCCCGGGCATGGTCACCTCAGGGTTGCTGGCCAGGCTGGGGGGCCATTTGTTAGGAGCCTCCAGAGGGACTGGGTCACGGGGCTGAAGGCCGACGACGATCTCCAAGGCTCTTTCCACCCACAGGATTCTACAAGGACGGGCCAAAGCGCATGGTCAGGACTTCCAGGCCTCATCGCCATTCCCCAGGAAGCAGAGCCAGAGAACAGAATGAAATGGAGAGGAAGCCACCAGCGAGAGCAGCCGTGGGCAAACTACGGCCCGCGGGCCAGATCCTGCCCGTTTGAAATGAATAAAAGTATTGAAAAAAAAGACCGTGCCCTTTTATGTAATGATGTTTACTTTGAATTTATATTAGTTCACACAAACACTCCATCCATGCTTTTGTTCCGGCCCTCCGGTCCAGTTTAAGAACCCATTGTGGCCCCCGAGTCAAAAAGTTTGCCCACCCCTGGGCTAGAGTGACACGAGTTGGGAGGCTGTTCCGTTCTCTGGGCTTGGGGTGATGAGGATGTGGACACGCAGTGGGCAGGGGCTCCCCTCTCGCTGCCACCGTCTCTGGCCCGTCTTCTGGGGCCTCCCAAGACCAGTCCACTCCCTCGGGTGACGGCAGCCACCTGACCCAGGATGTCCCCGACTCTTCATGTCCCAGACGATCCGCCCTCCTCCTTTCCTCATGCCAGCGCCCTCCCATGTTTCTAGAGTCTGTTTTGAAACTCTAGCTCCCAACCCCCAAGCCAATGCGCCCAGCTCTTTGAGTCCTTCCTGTAAGCAACCAGCCACTCCTCTCAGTGCCCCCGAGATCGCCCTCCTTGCCTGGCAGCTCTCCTCCTGGGCAGCAGACTCGCTGACACAAGAGTGGGGTGAGGGGGACAGCTCAGGCCCCACACCCCTGCAGGGCCGCGCTGGAGGGGAGGCTGAGTCAGGTGTGGAGCGTCTGGTCCTGGGAAGGGGCGGTGCACTGAGCGAGCCGCCAGGCCTGCGTCCTGACTGTAAGAGCTGGGTATGGCGTGAGTGGTTCCCCCTGTCCCTCACCTGCTCTCTCCACTTAAAACGGTGGAGTACTACTTCTCCCCTGACCGGCCTTCCAAGCAGAAAGAAACACAAATCAGGTGCCTAAAACTGCTCAGATATGTGCGGGCTGAGCTGGTGGCACTGCACACCTGGCCTCGATGTCAAACGGGAGCCCCACCTCTGACTCCAGACCTGAGGGGCAGCAAACCCGCCCCGACACCACCGAGAGGAGACCTGGCCGAGAGGAGACCTGGCTGAGCTGCCCAGGCAGAGCCACGAGTGCCACCGCTCAGCTGCTGGCCGCCCAGCCCGCAAGCACCGCAGCAGAGGTCTCTGCCCAGAGCAGAGGGGCCACGCGCTGGGGAGGAGACCATACCGAGAGGCTCCAGGGCGCTGAGATGCAGGGCCACGGGCCCTGCTAAACCCCGAGTGCTTGGGGCAAGCATTTGGCTTTCGGCACGAAGGTAAACAGTCCTAGAGCAGCAGCTAATCACCCCTTCCGTTTGTGGATCTCCTATACACGCTGCACCCTGGGCTTCTCTCTGACATCATCACTAACCCCACAGCCACCCGGGGAGGTAGTCATTACTGTTCCTATTTTTAGACAGAGAAGTTGAGGCTGGGGAGACGCAGTGCCTGGCTCAAGGTCAGGGGAGAGGGAGCCAGCCTCTGGCCTAGGGCTGCTGGACTCAACTGGGGCTCTTGACTTTCAAATTAGCAATGACTGGAACGGGGGACCCTTTCCTTTCGGTTCTTCATTTACCGACACTGAGCACCTGCTCTGTGCCAAGCGCTGCGCTGAGGCGGGGAACACAGCTGAATGAGGCCCCGAGCTCCTGAGTTCACCTTCCTGGGGGGCGGGGGTGAAGGGACAGGAGCAGCAGCGGGTGAGAACTGAGGACAGCAGGAAGGGGCCCCACCCTTGAGCAGCCATCTCTGAAGCCCCCAAATGTCACCCATGTCAACAGAGCTGAGAAGAGGGAAAGGAGGGAGAAACCCTGGCAGGGGGCGCCCACGCTTGCACCATCTGCCTGCCTCCTGCACCGTCCCTATCACTGTCTCTCCAGGCAGGAAAGAGAAGCCTAGGAGACCAACCACCTGCCAAAGCCCCACGGCCACCCTGCAGCAGACGCCTGGACTGGCTCTCTGCAGCCATCACACTGTCTTCCCAAGAAATACAAGAGGGGAGAGTTCTGGAAGAACCTAAGCCCAACAGT